TCTTCTGACACTTTTAAGGCTCTGAAAAGTAAGAGGTCGGATCTGCCCAGCCACTTTCATGGGGCCAGGTGCTTTTTCAGACCAGTCCTCCTAAATGGCGCACATGCACAAACTCGACATCTGCCTGCCGAGCACTATTGAGGAGAGGCATGAGGAATCTGCCACGGCTGCTGGGAGGCCAATCTCCCCTCCCTCCTGTCAGTATATTTATACTGGCAGACATTTTGTGTTAAGATAGAAATTAAAGGTGTATACTGTAAGTCACCATCAGAACAGAGGTGACTCCATTTTGTAACAAAATGCTAAGAAAGACACAAGATTCTTCTCTGTAACTCTGTTCATTCAAATCTGAACTAAGGAATGCGACTTATGTAAACATTGGCAGAGATAAGGCATGAGGTTTGCAGCAGGGGGGGGTTGAATATAACAACCCAGATATATAAAATGGTAACATGCCCATCATCTTGCTAAGGTCTATTTCCAGCATGCCCTGTACACTCTTGGTACTTTTTCCAACAAACGTATCTCCTCTATCAATCTTTATACATAGGTTCACATCCCTAGGTGATAGGATATTGATTATTCACATCTTCTCCTAGAATAATATCCTTTAACTTCTCTATTCCTCATACATCCATTCCACCCTTTACTCATTTTTTTTCTCAACACTGAGAACCCCATACTTCTGAGACTATTAGCTGATGAAACTAACATCAAGTCACTATGTCTATAACTCATACTTAATTACTATTTTCAATATGTTTATTATGTTAGAAGTAAGGAACAGTGATTTTTGCAAAGTGACTTTGTTCATGGTGATTTAATCCCTTACAGCATTTCGAGACCAAGTCTGGTCTTTTTTAATTCTTATCACTACATCGATGTGTGTCATTGGTGGCAGGGAGCTTTCCCAGCAAACAGCACTGTGTGCTGGCTGAAGTTGATTGCTCTAATAAATCCTCCACCACACGATTAGCCAATCGGCATGACTGCAGAATGTCCAAGCCGCTGCCTAGCAGACAGCGTGAGAACCAATCTGTGTATCGGCAGGGCTTCAGATCTGCTGTCCTTTTTGGTGGTTTTTGTCAGAGACACACTTGATGATGGTGAGCACTTAATTTCTATGTATATATATTTTGCCTGTTATGTTTGTAATGTTAAATTTGTCATCCTGAAGAAGGCTTCAGATGTGAGCCAAAACGTTGATGTTAATTTTAGTATTTTGATATGAATTAAAAGTTATATTTTACTTATACTACAAGGACC